TTCACAGAGATCAGTTTCGCGAGTTCAAGTAAGCTTCCTCTACGGCTTCCACTGCTCCTAATTGCCATTGTCCAGTTTCTGGCTTGTGATCGTGTGTGTAGCTCGCGACTAATGCGTTTTCTAGACTGAAACCCGACTTCAATCGCACGATTGAAATCTCCATTCCCATCTTCCAGGCCGGCGCCTACGCCTTCTACACCACCTATGCGGAGCTGCCAGAACTCGCAGAGGAGCTCGACTCGACTCCTCAGACCGGCGCCACCAACAAAAAGACGCCCCTCTACTACATCGATGTCGCCCCGCGTCTCAGTCTCGATGGCCGCCCGCTGCCATTGCCCGCTCTGTCCATCTTTTCAGTCATTAGCAAGTTTATGGGCAAATACCCAGGCGACTGGGAAAAGCATCTACGCGGTATTAGCGATCGCGGCTACAACATGATTCACTTTACCCCGCTGCAGGTTCGCGGTGCTTCTAATTCCCCATACAGCTTGTACGATCAATTGGGCTGGGATCCCGAATGCTTCCCCGCCGGCGAGAAAGATATCAAGGGCTTGGTGGAGAGCTTAGAAAAGCAGTATTCCCTCCTTAGTTTGACCGACATTGTCCTTAATCACACGGCACACAACACCGCGTGGCTACAAGATCACCCGGATGCCGGATACAACTTGGTCACGGCACCTTGGCTAGAGTCGGCGTGGCTGCTGGACTCGAAGCTGTTGGAGCTTAGCGAGAACCTTGAGAAGCTTGGGCTTCCCACCGAGGTGAAGAGCGACGATGACCTCATCAAGATTATGGACGCCATCAAGAAGCAGGTGATCTCTGAGATTCGCCTCTGGGAATACTACGCCATTGACGTTGAGCGCGACGTTGAGGCTGGCTTGGAGGCTTGGGTTGCCGGCAGCACCACCCTACCGCAAGACACCACTGGCGACGCAAACGTGACGGGACTGAAAGACGCATCTCTCAAAGACCAGGCCGACTTCCTCATCAAGAACGGCCTTCAGGGCGGTGACCGCATGGGCGAGAGGTTCAGGAGAAAGGTCGATCCCAAGGTGGCTTCTGGACTTCTGTCCACCATCTTTGGACGCTACGAGGGTGAAGAGGGTGGCGGCCCGACAAAGGCGGCAGCCAAGTCAAAGTTGGTGTCTATTCTCGACGAGATCAACCTGCCGTTCTACAAAGAGTATGACAACGAGCTCAGCGAGATCCTGCAGCAGCTGTTCAACCGTATTAAGTACTGCCGACTTGATGAGCATGGCCCGCGTATGGGCCCCATCAACAAGGAGTTCCCTCTCATCGAGACCTACTTCACCCGTCTGCCCAAGAACGATACCACGGCCAAGAACAAGCCTGAGGAGAATGTCTTGGTTAACAATGGTTGGGTCTGGGGCGGCAACGCCTTGGTTGACAACGCCGGCCCGGATTCTCGCGTATATCTGAGGCGCGAGGTCATTGTCTGGGGCGACTGCGTCAAGCTCCGCTACGGCAAGGGCCCCTCAGACAGTCCTTTCCTGTGGGAGTTCATGACCAAGTATGCTCGTATGCTCGCCAAGTACTTCGCCGGTTTCCGCATTGACAATTGCCACTCTACACCAATCCATGTTGCCGAGCACATTCTGGATGAGGCACGCCGAGTCCGACCGGATCTGTACGTTGTCGCAGAGCTGTTCTCTGGCTCCGAGGAGATGGACTACGTCTTCGTGAAGAGGCTGGGTCTGAGTGCTTTGATCCGCGAGGCCATGCAAGCATGGAGTACTGGAGAGCTCAGTCGCCTGGTTCATAAGCACGGTGGTCGTCCCATTGGAAGCCTCGAAGTTGACGAGATTTCAAAGGCAGACCCCAAGTCTCCAATGAGCCCCATGAGCCCGGCCAATGAAGGCAGCGACCTACTCAATGGGAGCAGCCCATCCTCGCGAGAGATCATCCGGAGGATCAAGCCTGTACCAGTTCAGGCCCTCTTCATGGACTGCACTCACGACAACGAGACCCCGGCTCAGAAGCGTGATGCTCGCGACACCCTACCCAACGCTGCTCTTGTCAACATGTGCGCAAGTGCGACAGGCAGTGTCATGGGTTACGATGAGATCTACCCCAAGCTTGTTGACCTCGTCAACGAGACTAGGCTGTACACGTCCGAGTCATCCTCCAAGCCTGTTAAGGTCGGTGGCGGCGGAAACGGCATTGGGGGCATCAAGAAGCTCTTGAATCAGATCCACACTCTCATGGGCAAGGACGGATACGACGAGACTCATATCCACCATGAGGATCAGTACATCACCGTGCACAGAGTCCATCCCGAGTCGAGAAAGGGGTACTTCCTGATTGCCCACACTGCTTTCCCTGGCTACGGCAATGGCAACGGCGCTTTCAACGCGGTACACCTCGGAGGCACCAAAGCCCGTCATCTTGGCAGCTGGATGCTCGAGGTGGATGCAAGCGACGAGGCTCGCAAGGAGGCCTTGGACGACAAGAAGCTGCTGCGTGGCCTGCCTAGCCGCGTTGTAGATGTCCCCGGCGTTCGCATGGAGGTCAAGGGCGACGACACCATCATTACCGTGCGCGACAAGTTCCCTCCTGGTAGCATTGCTCTTTTCGAGACATGGATCCCGGCAGCTGAGCACTCATCGGGTCTTGACAACTACGTCACTTCGGGTGCCAGATCCGCGGTTGAGAACCTGAACCTGGTGGACCTCAACTTCCTGCTCTACCGATGTGAGGCCGAGGAACGTGATGGAAGCGGTGGCAACGATGGCTGCTACGAGATCCCGGGCTACGGCAAGCTCGTCTATGCCGGTCTTCAAGGATGGTGGAGTCTTTTGAAGGATATCATCCGGGACAACAACCTTGCTCATCCTCTGTGCCAGAATCTCCGTGACGGCCAATGGGCTCTGGATTACATTGTCGGACGCCTGGAGCGCATCAGCAAGACTCCCGACTTTGAAAACCTGGAGAAGCCCGCCGTTTGGTTGAAGGAGCGGTTCGATGCTATTCGCAAGATCCCGAGTTTCTTGCTGCCGAGATACTTCGGCCTCGTTCTGCGCACCTTGTACACTGCCTCGTGGGAGCGCGGTCTTGAACTTATGAACGACAACGTTCGTGAAGGACAATGGTTCCTCCAAAGTCTTGCCATGGTCAGTGTGCAAGAGACTGGCCTGGTTAAATCTGGATCTCTGTGGCCCAAGAAGCTGGTCCCATCGTTGGCTGCCGGCCTGCCTCACTTTGCCGTCGAATGGGCGAGATGCTGGGGACGTGATGTCTTCATCTCACTCCGTGGTCTCTACCTTGGCACCGGCCGTTTCGACGAGGCAAAGGAGCACATTCTTGCCTTTGCCAGTGTGCTGAAGCACGGCATGATTCCCAACCTGCTCAGCAGTGGAGCTTTGCCGCGTTACAACTCTCGCGATTCCATCTGGTTCTTCCTTCAGTGCATCCAAGACTACACAAAGTTCGCACCCAATGGACTGGACCTGCTCCAGGAGAAGGTCAAGAGGCGCTTCCTGCCTTACGACGACACCTGGTTCGATGTCGATGACTCCCGCACCTATTCCCAGGAGAGCACCATCGAGGATATCATCCAGGAAGCGCTACAGAGACACGCATCTGGCATGTCCTTCCGGGAGGCCAATGCTGGTCCCTCGATCGACTCACAGATGAGTGACAATGGCTTTAACATTTCCATCAAGACTGACTGGGATACTGGCATCATCTTTGGCGGTAACCAGAACAACTGCGGTACATGGATGGACAAGATGGGCGAAAGCGAAAAGGCTGGATCCAAGGGTGTTCCCGGCACACCCCGTGACGGCGCTGCCATTGAGATCACTGGTCTTCTTTACAGCACTCTGAAGTGGGTGGCATCGCTCAACCAGCAAGGCAAGTACCAGTATTCGTCCGTGAAGAAGGCAGACGAGTCGACAATTTCTCACAGAGAGTGGGCCAACCTGATTCGCGACAACTTTGAGCGGTGCTACTGGGTTCCTCTTTCTTCTGAGGAAGACACCAAGTACGACGTCAACCCTCAGGTCATTAATCGCCGTGGTATCTACAAGGACTTGTACAAGTCCGGCAAGGAGTACGAAGATTATCAACTGCGTGCCAACTTCCCCATCGCCATGTGCGCGGCACCCGAGCTCTTCGATCCCGCGCATGCGCTACACGCCCTCTTGGTAGCTGACAAATCCATCCGTGGGCCTACGGGCATGGCAACACTCGACCCCGCCGATCTCAACTACAGGCCGTACTACCGCAACAGCGAAGACAGCGAAGACTTCGCCACTAGCAAGGGACGAAACTACCACCAGGGCCCGGAATGGCTCTGGCCTACTGGTTTCTTCTTTCGTGCCTTGCTCAAGTTTGACCTCGCCAGAAGAGGTGACCAGGCTGGACGCATCGAGGCCTTCCAGCAAGTCACGCGGAGACTTATGGGCTGCAAGCAGATGATCCGGGAAAGCGTTTGGGCCGGACTTGCGGAACTGACGCAGAAGGATGGCGAAGATTGCCCCGACTCTGTAAGTTGTTTCCTATTGTAAACTGTGGTTCGCTTGCTAACAGACCACAGTGCCCCACTCAAGCGTGGTCTGCCGGTTGTCTGATTGACTTGTACATGGATGCGGCTGAGGAGCAGAGCGACAAAGCCAAGATCGCCTTACCTGTAAGGACCAAGTAAATGATTCGACGTTGCGAAAACTAATAACTCCTACTGGGGACCGTATTCAAATTAGTTAGGCGCTTTGAGAGTTTTCACGCGGATGATGCAGAAAAGACACCCTGGGCCCGATCAAAAGCAGTTTGAACTTTGTTGATTTTTTGGATCCGAACACGACACGCGTTTAATGGTATATAGATAGACTGCATTAATAACCTAGAATGGTTTCACCTGACTTGCGTTTTCTTTTTCCCTTCCGTCACACTTGTAGATGTTGCGTGGTTCCAGTACACGACGAGCCATGACCCCGGCCTTGGTGTACCCTTCACGCGTCCTGAATATCTGTCGAAACACCTCACTCAAACCGAATCGAATACATGAGATTCTTGACAGGTTCAAACCTCTCCATCCCCTCGCCCCTAAGCTCAAAAGCAGGAACATCATCAACCCACGTCTCGACCCTCGCCCTCCTCCCATGCTGAGCCGCCACCCTCGTCCAAAACTCGACGAAGCTCGCTTCCGTGTGCCGATACAGCCTCTGGCCCTTGTGCATCTCCTCCCTCCGCGCCTCGCCCTCCGTCGTGCCCGCCGTGCGGCCGAAGATTAGGTCGTTTGGTTTTCCTGATAGTAAAGCTAGGAGGAAGGTGGCGTAGGTTTCTTGGTCTGCGATGTCGAAGCAATGCTGGACGTAGTTTGCTGTGATGATGGAGAATTTTCGTAGCCAGGAGGAGGGGAGTGTCGAGGGCGGGGAGAGGGCGTTTGCTTGGAGGAAGGTTATTGGGGTGAGGTGGTCGTTGAAGAGTGATTTGCCGGCGGGGAAGAAGGAGGGGGTTAGGTCTATGCCGTGGAGGGTTTGTGGGGGTGAACCTGCATGGACCTGGGTAGGTTGAGTGTGTAAGTTGATTCTTCTTTATGGTAGACGGGCTGTGGGAAAGGATAGACGCACCAGACTACGTAGATCCTGGCCAATGGCGCATCCAAAGTCGAGGAGATTCTCGCCTTGTTGCGTACGCCGTACCGCCTCGTCGAATTCCTTGTTGTTTCGGAGTTGGAGCTTGAGGAAGAGCCAGAGGCCTATGCATGGGTAGGGACAGTCGTTCCATGCTTTCTTGCGCTGAGGAGAAAAAAAGAGAGGTTGTGGGTTAGTTGGAGTAGCTATGTTGATGATGCTGGGGAGGTAAGGAACGAAGGAAGGAGATATGAGGGTCAGGAAGCTGAAGAGGAGGAGGGAACGTGAGTGTGAGTGTGAGTGTGAGTGTGAGAAGTGAGAAAAAGGGCCGGCCTACTGCTTCTTGAAGATGCTCTTGAAGCTGATTTTCTGGGATCTTTGCGTAGTCTACGAATAGTCTTTTTGTGTGTTCCTCAAGAGGGGGAAGGTCCTCGGTCCAGAATGGGGAGTTTGTATCTCTGTCTGTGGGGATGCGGTGGGCTGGGAGGTTAGGTGTCGGTTCATCGGCCATGATTGCAGAATACGGGGATGCGGTAGAACGATTGTTGGAAGGATGATGAAAGAGTCAGCTTTACTACCCAGGTATATACTTTATGTACGAGCAGACAAGAGAAATCAGAGATCTCTTGGGATGTTGTTGTCTTGTATATCAAAGACATGCAGATTGTCTGTGCGCTGGTAGTTGGGAGCTGGGGAGCTTGGGGAAGTCCAGTCGGTCGGGGATTCTTTGATAATCGGAGCGGACTGGACTTCATGTTGGGGCACATGTACCTTGATAGTTGGTGGCCAGATCGACCTTGCCGATGGCGTTTGGTATACCTCGTGTCAGCCTTTTCCCACACGTGCGCGAACGAAGGAGTGCGCCTCTAATTTGAGCTCGCGTGCCTGTCGCCGTTGAATCGGTGTCCACGTCTGGAAGAAGTCTCGATTGGGACCTATTGTATATGCAAAAGATATTCTGTTACATGATCATTGCCGGGGACTTTCATTCGCAGATCATGTATCCGGCTAGAACCTTTTACAGACGTAGAAATTTACTTGTCCGTGTTCAATGCAGTCCGAACGAGAACTAGAATCCTACATTCCAGGAAGTGGATGGAAGAGGAAGCTGCAGGTTGATATACATACCCTGGAACACCATGTACACCGATAATTCTCTTCCATAACCTTGTTCTGATCAAGATATCAAGAAATCCCGGGGTTGTCATGTTGGCAAGACATGAAAGGAAAGACTGTAAGCATATTGCTAATCTAAATGGCAGTTATATCGCATCCCATTTCCTCTAGCTGTCTTTCGTCACAGAATAAGTTTCCACTCCTCAACGTATCTCGCCTAACCTACCTGTAGAGTCTGATCATCTCGAATGCCAATTGGTACCAGCGATTGGGCCCGTTGATCGAATATCAGAGCTCGAAAACGCATGGCGAAGAATTCTTTCAGGGTGTAAAGTATACCGAGCAGCATAACGATCATCATCCCACACACAAGCTCCAAGATCCGTGCCTGTGATAAACCAATGACGAGGAATGACCATTGAATGTTGCATAGTGATGCCTGCGAAACACCCTGCAGGTGCCAGGACCTCTGCGCCCACATGGCACACTGTTTGATCGACCCGCCCAGACAAGCCTCATGATTGTGGATAACACCTTCTGGCAGGGTATCGAAAAAAAAAGCTTACGCATACAAGTACGGAATATCGGCATCGAGTCAGTTACAGTTGCAAAACAAAACATTGCTGGTGCCCTTGGTGTAAAGCGTTTCAGTGGCTGTGGTTGTGAACAGGTATAAGAAATTATCATTTGGTTTTGGATGATGCTAAGCTGACTACACGAGTCCTCCCGCTTTCCAGGGCCTGTCTTCAAAGGACATTCCTCCCGGGGCCCAAGGGAAACAGGCCGCTTCTGTTACGCAGCTGCGAGACTGGGGGTCTCCTGCCATCGGCCTGTTTCCACCCCTTCAAACCCGCCTTTTTTGATTGCGTGGTTTCACTGTCAAAAACCAGGACCACCAATGCTGCTTATGTCCAACGACAGAATCCTCCATTGTTTCCAGCCGTACGCCTAATCAATGACCAAAGGAAAGAAAAAAAAAAAAAAAAGAGCAAGTATTGCCTGGGAACAAGTATGTGTGAATGTCCAAACACCAATGCCGTGAAATATGTGAACGCCGTCTCGTTAAGCCGTTGAGAGATAGTGATGAAGAGTGATGCCGCACAACATGTGTACCAAAGTCGCACTTCTATGTCCGCTCGTTGACGACCCACTTCTTCTTCTCCTTGGGGGGCTTCTCATCGTATACAGCCGGCGGCGGGCCAGGCATAAATTGGCCGGGAGAGTTGACAATACCAGCTTGGTTGACATTGACACCTGAACCAGCGATGATGCCGCTGGGTCCCTTGTGTGCGTGCTTGCCGAGCTCGTACATGCGGTCCTTGCGGCGGAGGTAGCGTCGGCGCCAGATGCAAGCGCCAACCCAGATGCCAGCAATGGCAACAACGAGGATTACAAGCATGACGACCCATCTCCAGTGGTTAGAGAGCCTAGATTACTCAGGTTAGCTATAGCCGGGAACGCAATGCTCTGGGAATAGTCTCACCAATCGCCGCCATTTCCGCTGTTGGAGGAACCTTTTGAAGCTCCGCTTGTTGAGGTAGATCCTGCCGAGGACGAAGATGCGGTGGCAGCGCCGCCCGTGACGGAGTTACAGAATGAAGTGTACCATCCCTGAATACTGCTAAAGCCAGCGTCGTCACATCCAGCAGCGGGGCAGACACCACCGGCGGCTGTTGAGAAGGCTTGTAAAACACCCTGGCTACAGAAACATCTGTCGTAGGTGTTGGCATCAGCCGCCGCGACGGCAGGAGGAACACAGGCGCCGTTAGCGTCGTAGAGGGGGCCACAGTTCACAGCGCACGCGGGCAACTGCGCAAAGGGCATAATCGTTGTTGAAAGGCCAGCTGCATGATGTTTAGTAAGGGGGCTCTTGTTGTCCAAGGTTGCTGAATTGTCACTTACACATCTTGACGGCGTTGGCGAGTCGTTGGAGGGGAAGGGAAGAGATGGAGCGTTGAAGATGGAAAAAGTGGAAGGAATTCGGGGAGAAGTAGGCAACTTGTCAGCCGTTGCGGCCAAAACAAGTCGTTGGAATGCGGAGACGTTGGAAGCAATCGATGGTAGGTATTCCCTCCTTATTGCGGTGGTCCAAGACACGTCGGGTGGCACGAGTGCGAAATTAAGCACAATCCAGCGAGTCAAGCCCAGACGGTTGGCGGCCGGAGAGGAATGCGATGCACTGTTGGAAGCGGTGAATTCGTAAATTGAATTTGTTCGCAGCGAAAAAATCCCGAGTTTTGAACAATGCCGTTGGCGGATATGCACGTCAGCGTGTGGTTTTCGTCCCAAGTCGGTCGAGGTTGAGCCAGGTCCAGCTGCCGTCCCAGGTTCTGCCGCACAGATTGCCTCAAAACGTCGTAATGTGCGTTGAGATGCAGGAGAGCCAAGTTCTGAAATCTCCGGGAGAGATTTCGTGCGTATGCGCGAGTCCTTTTGATAATTTCGAGGTTTGGTTCGTCACGTCGAGGAAGCGTGAATTTAACGATTGCGGGTGTTTGTCACCAGCGTTCGGTCGGCTCGGGCTTCGGAGGATGGGGCGTAGATATTTGGAGCAAGCGAGATTCTCGTATGCGTAGGATGGGTCCTGGAAGCGGTGTTCCAGTGGACTTTGAAATGGATTTTTTCGTCGTTTGTACGTTGGTCGGCCAGGGGCGAGGTGGTGCAAGCGAGTGACGATAATCGGGAAGGGAACGTCGAGTGCGTGAAGCTTGACGATGTCGGTCGGCACGGTTGACGGCGTTCGAGGCTTCTCCTTGTTTCTCCTTGTTGTAGTGACGAAGCGAGTGTGTGGAGAGGTGGATAAGAGAAGGGAAGAGGAGAGAAGTAGTAGACGGGGGCCGGGTTGGTCGTGGTTTGTTGAAAGGTGTCGGATATTTGGCGAAAGTGAAGGTGACGAACGGGAAAAGGAAGCGGAAGGGAGGAAAGGTGGTGAGAAGGAGACAAGATGAGGGAAACGGAGAATTGATGACGGGACTGAATTTGGATGGCAGAGCCGATGGATTATGGGCAATTGGGAGAAATCGACAGGGCGAAAAAGCAAGAAATGCGCGGTAAGACACCCGGCCAAGGACGGGCGATGGATCGATGGGATGGTACGACCCAGGGGCGGTACCTCTATTGCCACCACTTTCAGTATGAGTGCACAAGTACATTTCCCGGCTCGTCCTGGCCTGCCGATGCAGAAGCGCCAGCTCCAGCAAACGGCTAAACAGCGCCTGTATCCCCCCCCCCCATCCTCCATCCATCCATCATCCACGGCACCAGCACTTCCACTACTTCCACATCTCAGCATAGCACACAGCACGACGCTCAACAACGAACACAAACTTGGCACTAACCACAGTGACAACACACACTGTCGACGGGTCCAAGAGGGGAAACACTAACGATCACCGGGGCCTTGCTATGCTGAAAGCAAGGGAAGCGCTGCGGGAACGACGGGCTCCTCGTCAACTCGACGGACCACTGGCCACCGGCTGGGTCAGAAACTGGGTCCGGGGTTCCAGCTTGACCAGCGTTTCCCCTCTAGCGAGCTGCGAAAAGCAGTCCGGTCCCTGATCGAGGGCGGGACAAGGGTTGCTGCATCTTCAGGTTTAGGTTGTGACTCCCCTCCTCTGCTGAGTACCGTATTCTGTACGGAGTACCGTATTCATGGGTGCCTGGATGGTGGCATCTTCATGGGGAGTTCGTCCCGCTGTACGTAGCTCGGAAGGCTCGGTCACAACTTGCTTGCAGTCTTTTTCTTCTCTTAAACTTGCTGTCGCCAGCCCATATCTTGCTCTCATCGTAATTCTCTCTCTCACGTATCCGGACTTCCATTTGCTGACACTTCCTGCAGTCTGATGCACGTAACACGGGAGTCCGTGATGCTCATCAACTCACTGACCTTGCCGCGTATGTCTCTGACTGATTGGTCCCCCGGACCCCAATATCGATGATGGAAGAGCACAAACCGGGCTGTGCAGCGCCAGCCAGCTAAAGAGTCGAGCTACCCGGGCCGGCCGAGCGAGCTGGGCACACTTTACGGCAGAGCCAGCCATCTGTAAGAAGAAAAAAAAATAGAAGACTTGGCTATCGAAGACACCATCACGGCACCTCTGCGGCACAGGGCGTTCGCTTGGCTTGCTGTCCTGTCAACTGCGTTCCCTGCCACCAGACTCTTCTTTGTGGTTGCAAAGACGCGGACAATACCTTGCTAGACACAATCACACAATCTAGGTGTCTAGGAAGGGAACAAAGGCCCCGGTCAACAAAGGTGTCGCGCGTGTTGCACGAGGCGTCAATAACAAAAGCTGAAAAGGTGCGCCAACTTCCAGCTCATACTTACTAGCTCTCGATGCTGTCAACCGTTATCAACCGTTATAGCGTTTAGCTCTCCGTCTTGGTTTTCCTCCC